ATAAACTCTAGATACACAGCGTGTATTGCTGTCGATATTCAATATACCACATATACTATGTAAAATTTATTCAACGAACATATTTACCTATATTGTATATATTACATCTACTGTGGATACAGTACATGTGGCATATACTATCTATATTCTATCAAAATCCACATATACGATATATATATATGTTCAATATATATATATATACATATGTCAAATATATATATATAATATATTGCATATATTCTATTTATATCTTACATATTATATATAAGGTTATATATACATATATATATACACCACACATACACTCTATATGACATAAAGACACCAAAGAAACCATTCCTCCAGCAACAATCGGCTTGGCTGTTGAGAAACCCACCCCTCCCCTGCCACAGGGGGGGGGGGAACCATCTGGCTGGGAGGGGGGGGGTGTGGGGGTCCCTGCTCATACATACATACATACATACATTACATTACATTACATTACATTACATTACATTACATACATACATACATGCAGACAGACAGACAGACATAACATAACATAACATAACATAACATACATACATACATACATAACATACATACATACATTCATACATTCATACATTACATTCATACATTACATACATACATTACATACATACATACATTACATACATACATACATACATACATACATGCATGCATGCATGCATGCATGCATACATGCATACATACATACATACCATACCATACCATACCATACCATACCATGCCATACCATACCATACCATACCATACCTTATTTCAACCAGTGTCCTCTATCAGTGTTGACACCGGCAGTAGACGTTGTCCTCAATGTTGTGAAAATTTCCTTATGTAAGAAGTGATGTTGTAGTTCATGTTCTAAAGCAGGGCTCATGGAGTAAATGACGTTGCAACTGACGTTTTAGTCAAGATAAACACATGATTTTGAAGAACCAGTAGCCCAAAGTAAGACCAATGTATAACAATATATAATTATACGATGTAAGAATTTTCACGTGGGGATCAAAACCATTCTTCTGAGGCACCACCTGCGTCAGAATGCCAGTCGTCGTCGTCGTCGTCGTCGTCGTCGTCGTTAAATGTTAATAAATAGTTAATTATAGTTAATTATAGTTAATTATAGTTAATTATAGTTAATTATAGTTAATTATAGTTAATTATAGTTAATCATAGTTAATTATAGTTAATTATAGTTAATTATAGTTAATTATAGTTAATTATTTTTGTTAATTTTTGACGACGACGACGACGCCGACCAGTGACCAATGTCCCCTATATCCAGGCCTCAAAATGTACCCAGGGTCAAGACAAAACATCAACTAAAACGTCAAATTTTACATGTAACATTATCATGAGGTATAATTCCCCAAATCAAAACGTCAAAACGAACATAGTTCGGACATAGTTCGGAACCAACCTTGTACGGACACGTCCCTGGGAACACAGAAGCCTGGATATAGAGGACACTGGTTGAAATAAACCATACCATACCATACATTACATACATTACATACATTACATACATAACATACATACATACATACATACATACATCCATCCATCCATCCATCCATCCATCCATCCATACATACATCCATACATACATACATACATATAATGTGTGTATATATATATATTATGTCTATATATATATATTATGGGTATATATATTATGTGTATATATATAATGTAGATATATATATATATAATGTATGTATTTATATGTACGTATATTATATATATAATGTATATATATATATATATGTCCATACATGCAGTGTATATATATATATTATCGGAACATTGCATTTTATATCTACAGTAAACATCAATGATCAAGTCCAGGTCTGTTGTTTGTGTTGCACTCAGATCGTTCGTCCTTGTTCTTGCATTTTCTTGCCCACATCAGGATTTGTCTGAAAATGGGATACCCTCAATTCCAATGGAATGATCCTTGTCCACAATTAAGGCTTGCCATGTTCAATCATTTTCAGGGCTATGCCGGTATGCCCCAGTTTCAGACAGCCGACTTTTTCGATTGAGATGTTCCAGGCTCACCTCTGCCAAGCTTGCAAGGCTTAATGGCTTTGTCCGCAGAGTAGCAGCTCCCACTCGACGCAACTGTTGCTGCCTGGGAAGGGCACGCAGACTGTCAAAGATAGACAGATCTGATGAAGGACTTGGAATCCAGCCGGCTATCCGCAGGGGCTGTTTTGCCAACTGGAGCAGGTCCGCTAAGACTCCTGGCACTGAAAAAACAGGACCAGTGGACCGAAAACAGCAAGTTCCACTAGTTCCACTCGCCGGATTCTCCAAGCCAAACATCTGGGTCGAAATGGTCCAGGCAGTTTTCATCCCGCCTTGTGAGTTTCCTGGGCCTCGGAATCTGACAGCACCACAGATTTGGCCATCCAATTCTGGGAGAAAAACTGAGCTATCAATGGATGAGCAACCTGCGAGTCCAAAGAAACATGAAACATGACAGCAATTGGCAGGTCCAGGATGGTCTAGGTTGCAACGACCACGAAAGAGTGCGAACTGCGGTGATTGGACACATGGCTTCCGAGTGCTTGGAGATCAGGAGTCTTGGTAATCGCTGTGGCCCCCGCTTCAATGGTTTGCTGGTCCGCAGAAAGTAGTACTTTGGAATGCCAGGATCTCTTTCAATGCCTAGGCAGTTGGAACAATCACGAACAACCTATGAATCTAGTACAGGCTCTGGTTTGGCCAGAAAAAACAACGACTTGCTTTGATTTTTGCTGTCTTTGCCTGCTGATATTCGAAGGACCCCTTTGCTGTCCGGCAGTACCCAGAAAATGTCCTTTCCTATTGGAGGTCCACTGACTTTGCCTCTTTGATCCTCTTTGGGTCACAGGATATGAAACTCAGCTTCCGGCTTTCTGGCTGTTCATTCCCCGCATTCCCTGCATCTGTAGCCAAGCCGACTGGTGTCCGACTCCCCAGTTTTGGCGAGACACAATGAACACTGCAAAACAAAGCTGCTCAACGTTCCGAATTTCTATGGAATGCTTTTTTAACCATCATTTTTCTGCTACTTTAGTATCCTTGGTTGTAGTTTTTAATGCAAAATACAATGGAAAAACCACAAAACGGAGTAGCAGAAGACTGCTCAGATTACCAGCATATTATCAGCAACAAAAATAAATATGATAAATGAGCATTGCCAATATAAACACCTTTTGCATACAAATCCCACAGGGCACACCATTCCTATCGACTCACGAGATGGGTTGACTTAACTCCCTGGTGCTGCCCACGGCAGGAGGAATGACCCTTGTGGGGAGGAGGTTGGAGGGACTTGTATGCTACCTGTATGCTACCTGTATGCTACCTGTATGCAAACGTATTGCATGTACCCTTTCCATGATAGGTTTCTCCGAAGCAACTGAATGCAGAGAAACCAACAACCCTGGAGACTCTACAGGCCTGAACTTCTATCGAACCTGACAGCGCCAGGCATGGCTTGGGTTGAAGTATATTGCTACAAAGCAAACCCGTACAAAAAGTAGAGAGGGAGACATTCCAATATGTTCCAAAATACAATGTTTGATTCTGGTAACACTGCCCAGCCTTGTCATGGATTCTCAGCAAAATGTATGCGGCTGCATTGCTAATTCCAAAATAATGCAAACGGCTGCGACTTGAATATGGTATGTATACATATATCTTGTACAGAACACTAACCTCGAACGGCACGACTTGAGCTTCTGCATGAGCCAGAAAGATAATAGAATGAGTCCGTTCATTGCCCTGCAGCTGCGTTCGACTTTGATGCCATCATCACCCTTGAAGCTTGATGTCAAAATGACTGCGTATTCGAAAAACGGTTTCATCGGTTTCATTCAGCCCTTTGTCGCGATGCTGAAAGGGCCAATCAGTGTGACTGGGATACTGCTACTTCGGGGATACCCCAAAGTTCGGAATCCCCAAAACCCATGATCTAAGACGATATAATATGATGTTCTCCTGTTTAACCATGCTATATCATGCTATTAGAATTTCCACATAGAGCCCATCCCCCCTTGGTTTCGACCCTGGTTCCAACGATTTTCAACGTCGCCACTGCTTTTCGACACGACCGATCCCATGGGATCCCGGTTGGACCTGCAAAGAGTCGGGGATGTCTGAGGAACCCACCAGAATGGAACATGAACTCCGAATTGGCAACAAGAATGGGCAGAATTCTGCTAAGATTGAAGTGCGAAGGGCTTCCCAAATTTCGGGCCCAGGTAGCGATTCCAGCCCACAACTACGTCGATAGCTGGGCACACGATGCAGCATGGCTTCACTGGGCACTGCAGAAAAATACAGTAAAGCATATAGTAAAACACGTTACAAAGATTTACAAAGTGGTGTCACAGTCTGGTGGTAACTTCGTTGGCTTCATGACAGGCAAGAACATGAAAATATCCTAAAGTATTGCGTACTGCAAATAATCCAATGACTTACATAAGGTAGAGTAATGTAGTGATGTCACAATGTAGCTGAACATTATCCGATTCAAAGAGTTGGTTGCATAGTCTATCAGGTTGCGACATTGTAATGGAAGAAGTTTGGGTTACCAACAAAACACAACGCATGAAGTGAATACAATGAGAACAAGCTATGACAAGTGTTTCCTCTACCACATCAGACTTCGTGAGTGATTCCTACTCCCATCTCACCAAACCCAAGCTACCAAAGCCTGTAGGCCGCAAGAAATTCCTGCTGACGCCTGCCAAGCAAGCGAAATAGGCTCAAGATGGCTCAAGACAAACACTTGGATCATTGGAGAAGTCAGTGAGGCTCGGGCTTCATCGTGCCTCTCCAAAGAAGTACCCAGCTTTTGCGCCACGATCTGCTTGGCTTCTTTGTATGTGAGAGCCTGAACCTAGCACCGCACATGGCCCCATGAGCCATCAGAAATTCTTTGGATTACACTGGCCGGCATAGGTGGCATGAGGTCAGGCCGGTCAGGCTTCAAGTTCCTTGAAGCCTTGAAGCCTTGGAATTCGACACCCTTCAGCCTCTCCCAGGGCAAGCGGCAAAGAGTTGTAGAGCTGCAGAAACCTGCGATGTGTTTGTGGCTTTTCATTGTTCCAATCCAACTGGTCCACAATGGTCCGCACCCACAATGTAGCTGACACGTAGGAAAAACACATTTGCACTCCAAGCACCCTAGCAGTCTTTTTGCTTCCTTCCTCCTTTCTCCTCCTTCCTGTTTCAACCACCTCTATGCTCCCAAATGTACTGTATGTCTGGGTGCACGTCCTGATGTCTGGCATGTCATCACCTTTCCAGTCCGTGCAAACCCCGTAGCACGAAGAAAATCAATCAAACAGATACCGCATGATTGCAGCTCGAATCGGATTCCATCCATTGAGGTCACCCTCAAAGTGGGGTCGGTTCCCAATGACCAGTTTTGGCCATACATCGGCAGATATTTGGGTATGATTCAAAATTATATACATATTGACACACACACACATATAATATATATATATATGTATATATATATATATGTATATATATATAGATATCAATGAACCCTCATTCTGGGATGGGTAGATACTAAAAAGTTGCCAATCTTGTGGGCCCACTTTTACCCCATGGGTCGCCATAGCGGACTCCATCAGTTGTGGATTTCCTCCAATTTCCTCCTGTATCAGCGGGCTTGGGGTGCTCCAAGTCTTTTACCCCAAGTTTCTCAGAGCCAAGAATCAGTACAATGAGAATAGCTTTAAATTATCTATTTGAAAAGATGAATTTTCCATATAATGAACCATCCAGCTATTGGGTACCCCCGTGACTATAGAAACTTCCACAACTTACGGCCTGGAGCCAGCCACTGCAGGCGCTGCTTGTCGGCTTGCTCCTAGAAATGGCTCAGAGAAATTGCTATTATCATATTACTACTATATGTATCTAAGTGACAAGCATTAGCTATGATTGTTATCTTTTTTTGGCTACTAATGGCTATATCATTGGCATAGTTGGCTGTGAAACTCTGCAACTGATCTCCTCTGGAGTCTAAAGCTGCCCCTGTCCTGGCCGGCGCAGCTTTGAAGAGCGGCCTCAAAAATTCCCAGCAGCGAGCCTGCCATCATGCATTGCTGCTTGGACGTCGCCAAGACTCCATACATAGCTCTCGTCCTCGGAGCTGGAAGCGGCTGGAACAGTTGAGAATCATACGCGAAGGATGTGTTTCAAATCAAAGCGCATTGCATGGACAAGAGGAGTTAAGAGACCCAGGTCTGAGATACAAACTCCGTCACCCTGAGGCAGGTCATGCATGTCCAATCTGCCTGTCATGTGTAAATGTCCCATCTAATTGTCCAAACCAACCTATGCGAGCTTCAAGCTCTTTCTTTGAACTTAAGAATCTTAAGAATGGGAATCACACATCCAAATCCATCCAAATCCATCCAAATCCCATTTTCCTGCTAGTTGTTTCATGCGTTTTCCACGTGGTCACCGGGCTCGGAGTTGCTGCCTTCTCAGATTCTGGAGCTGATGCCCCCAGATTCTGGGACTTGGCTAAAGCCAGAGCAGCCTGGAGATTCCGAACTTCCCATGGATGATGAGAATCCCACATATATCACATATGATATTCTACTATATATATAATGTAATGTAATGTAATGTAATGTAATGTAATGTAATGTAATGTAATGTAATGTAATGTAATGTAATGTAATGTAATGTAATGTAATGTAATGTAATGTAATGTATGTATGTGTATATATATACATATATAGGAAAGATGTATGCAATTAATATATATATATATATGAGTAGTATAACCCAATATGACTATATAATCATCAACCAACAGGGGGTGACAAGTGATGACTAATCATTTAATCATCAACCTGCACAAGGCCGCTAGTATCTAATGATATGATCCAAATTTGTTGGACATCTTGTTATTCTTTTTTAAGTTTGTCTTACCGTTAGTATATGTTAATATCCCATGAATTCGCCAACAATGATAACCAGCAATCATAACAGTAACATGGGTCAATAGTAATAATAATTAATAATAGCCAGTAAATTAGCAATATTAAATTAACCAGTATGAACCCATATTACCCTCTGGTTGTTCAACATCGCCATGTTTCCATGGTCCTAATCGAAATAGATTCGGTTTGTTTTACAGGTCTACACAGCCACAATGCAACTACAAGTAGACGCTTGTTTCTTGAGCCATGTGCACAGGGTAACACAGGTGAAATATGAAGTATGTACAGTAGTATACATGAAAAACACCCCCCGCCGCCCGCAGATTCCCGCGGAGGACGGAAGGAGAACCACGGACGCCGGAAGTGACCTGAGAGCGAACGGGTTCATGCAAGACATCACTGTACACCATCACCTAACAACTGTGCAAAATGGTCCTAGCTCGGATGCATGAGGCATGGAGTACGGATGCAAAAATCTTTTATGATCTCGGGCATTGCGTGTGCTTGAAATGCAAAAGCAAAAGTGACATCGGCCTGGCTTCCGCCAAGGCATAGGAGCATTACCACTCCTTTATTGCCCTGGAAACTTAGAAGCTACTGTAGCAGGCTAATGTACACGGCTATATACACGCAATCTACTGCATTGGATCGGATGCTGGTGTCAATCTCATTGAATCAATTGAGAAAAGTTTTCAAGTTAATCAAGTTGGAATTTAAGGTTTTGGAAGTGTGTGCAATTCGATTGAACTGAATGACCATGGGTCAGCTTTCATCCAATCGGCCAAACCTTCCGGTAGGCATAAAATCATGGCACAAGATGTGAAACATCTACCAAGATTCAAATTCTACCGTCCCATCATTGTAGGTGCGCTTGTAGCGCGGCTGGCCGTTGATCTCGCAGTATTCCTCAGCAATCACAACTGGTGCACGAGGTACCTGTCGTGGAGGCTCTGCTGCGGTAGCTGATCCAGAAGCAGCTTGGGCAGAATCGCCAGCAGCTGGTGTTGTGTCAGGCATAGGCGTCGCTGTTGATGGTGGCCGCACTGGCTCCGGAGGAGCTGCCGAGGAGCTTGATGCTGAAGATCTTCCCCAAGGATCAGCAGTCCAACCTCGGCCAGAGTAGCCCTGATTCCAATTCCAGCTTTGCCATTGGGCCTGCCCTCCCGAGCGGCTTGAGTAAGATCCATACGAACCCCACTGTTGCCCTCGGTTCCATCCACTGCGGCATTCAAAGGATTTGTGGCCATATTGACCGCACTTCCAGCACTCAATGGCCTGCTGAAAAATTGGGCGCTGTTGCTGACCATAGCCCTTTCCTTTGCCCTTGGCTGGCTTTTGAATCGGGTCAAAGTGACGCCGGTATCCTTCTCGCCCTTCGCCAGTACCCGTCTTGGAGGATCTTGCCAATGGAAACTCAGCCACATCTGATGCAGTGGCTTCATCAACGAAGGAGTGTTCCTCACCCTTGATGTTGTTGTATTGCTCCTTCCACTGCCTTTTCGCAAAGTCGACAAGGTCGAAGAAGCAATCTTGGGCTGACCCTTGATCCACAGGCATCATAGAGCCAGACCAAACAAATAACATCGGCGTGGGTTCCCCCCTCGCTTTCAGCAAGTCCGCAGCAAGAACAGCAAATTGTGGGAGTGTAAAAACCCGTGCATGATGAGCAACCATGGCTTCCTTTGTAACATCCAATGGGAGTCGAATGTCTCTGTTGAAGTCTGGCATGAAAATCAATCGAGTGCTGACACCTGTTCCCAGTTGCTTTTCTCGCTTCTCTCGGGTACGGCCGACATCAGGGGCAATGCATTTCGCCAAATCCTCCAAAAATTGGCAACAGTCGGGGGTAATCTGGCCGACCGCATTGTTGAACAAATAAAATGGGTCCTTCTCCATGCGGTCCTGGATCGATTTGAAGCCGAGCTTTGTGTATCTTCCCGCATGTGTTTGAGCAGCGTCCTTGAGATTTCCGAAATTGCTTCGTCCAGCTCGACGTTGGTCTGCTCGGGTGCGGTCGGAGACTCGCTGAGCTCGTGGCTGCTTCTCAAAATCGATTTTGTCCAGAGAAAATACCTTATTGGTTTTCTTGGCCGAGATTTCCATCCGGCATACCTCTGTCGCAATTCTTCCATCCGACCAAGCAATCAGCCATTTGAAGCACGACTGACACTTGTGGGTGCCCTCAATGTTCTGGTCGCCGCAGAAGTGGCATCTGACCTGCTGCATCTCAATCTTGGTGCTGTAGATGTAATCCTCAGCATTGGTTGAGCGCTGGGCCTGCCCTCCCGGGCGGCTTCCTTTTCCCTTGCCTTTTCCCCGGCCCTTGCCTTTGCGAATGGTTTCGGCATTGGACAAGGCACCAAAGGAGGCCATCTTCAACGTCACTTTGTCCTCAAAGGGTCCTGAAGTTCCTTCACGTCGACGAAGAAGTGGGGGAAGCTCTTCCGGAGAATCGGTCACCTGCATCTGGCCGGGTCGAATGGACTTGCCGCTCATGAGGTAGGCCTTCAAACTGTCCCTGGCGTTGGCATACGGGCTCTTGGACAATGCTTCTTTCTTCGGAGTGTCCTGGTCCTTGTGGGTCTTCATTTTGCTGTTGTACCCCACACGCGTGATCTCGTAGGGGCGATTCACCCAGGCAAACTCCCTGTTGACAGCATCATAGGTGCATATGATGTTTTCATTGGAGATCCAGTCAGGGCTAATGATTGCTTCGTCTGTGCGAAACAATCGGCAGCCGCTTTGGACGATGAGCTCGGTGTCAAAGGCAATGTAATATTGTTTGCCGGCTCGCGTTCCCGCGAGCTTTCTGCCACCGACTGAATCATCCCATGGATGTGACGCAATAAAGAAATTATGCGCCCTTCCTGTTCTTTGGGGCCAGCCACCTGGGATGAGACCATGTTCAACTATCTTGTCCATAGCGAGCCTGTCGCAGCTATGGTAGATAACCCTTGGAAGTGCAGCCAACATCTCCGGCACAAGGTCTGGACGAAGATTCGTCCTCGGCAACTTGGGCGTGTCGAGGTCAGCCTTGGTAAAGGTTGGATCCAAAGTAAACACTTCCTTCACCAGCGATGAAATTTTGGCATTTTCCACCACTGCACGGTTGTGTCCTTGGACAGCTCTGATGGCGACAACCTTCCATGGCAAACCCTTCCAGGGTGCATCAGGCAAATCGGGCTGAGCCACTTTCACCTGAAAGCGCCTGGTGTCACTGTTGCGCACGATGGACAGGACCTCACTGATCTTCGGGTAGGAGACGTAGTGGGCCATCGTCTTCATCACCGCCTCGAAATCCATCGAAAGATCCATGGGATCGATGTCTGGGCTGCGAGCACCATAGCTCAATGCGTGCCCTCGGAGAACATAAGATAACTTTGTGGAAAGAAATCTCAGTCGCCCTTGGCCGCAATACTCCTTGGGAATCCTGTTGATCATGTCATTGGGGTCCAACCATACTGATCCCTCTTGGCGTTCCGTCGCTTCTTCCAATTTGCGAAGGGCTGCATCAGCTTCGACACTGAGTCGCGGCGCTTTCTGTCTGGGCTGCGCTTTTGACTCTGGTGCCTTTTGCTTTTCACTCTTCGGCATTTTCTTTTCGGCCGGCTTTCCAACTGGCTTGTCAACCTCCACCTTCTTCTCGGTCTTGGTCAGGTCGACAATGGCAGTCTTGTCAGCAGGCTGTTCGGAAGAAGCAGAAGCCTCAGGAACTGCAGCATCAGTCGGCACACCCTCCCGGGCAGCATCAGCACCTTCCTTCTTCTCAGAGTCAACGTCCATGGCAGTGGCTTCAGATCCACCAACCTCGGTCCAAGTTGAGATCCTTGAAGAAGTCATGTCGCTGGGCTTGGATTCTTCACCACCAACCACACTCCATGTTGAAATCCTCGATGAAGTCATGTCTTCCCCTCCTTGGTCAGTCTTTGCGGGTGCATCTTTCGCAGCAGCAGAGTCATCGGCCGACGTTCCCGAAGGCTTTGCCTCAGTGGATGTGATCTCGATGATCTTGTTGAGATCTGCAACCTCCTTGGCTCTTTCCTCCGAGATTTCATCTTCCTTGACCTTCTCGTCATGGGGATTGACAATGATCTTCTCATCCAGGATCACGTCCCAATCATCAAACTCGGGAACAACTTCAACATCATCATCGACATCAGTGTTCTCCGGATTGATCTCGATCGACTCAATGGTTGTAGTTGAGAAACCATCAGCCACGGCCTGATTCAAATCTTCTTGAAGGTGTTGTCGGGCCCTGACTTCTTCGGTTTCGTAGTCCTCGATCGAAGGGTCAATTGGGACGATGGAGCTGATCTCTTCATCAGTGAAAGCAGTGGGCATCGGCCTTCCCTCCCGGGTGGCTTCCTCATTGGCTTCAAGAATTCCTGCATGGACCCACATGAGGATCTCCTCATCTGCCTCGTCAAAGACCTGGGCAGGGGTTGCCGTTTTCTTCTCAGTGGAAACGGCTTCCATGACTTCTTGAGTGCCGAGCAAAGCCAAACGAAATTGAACCATCGTGGGGAAGAGATGGACCGCGGCCACACGATCTTGCTCGTTGCTGATGAACTCCTTGACAAAGTACTTGAGA